ATCCATCCGAAGCTGCTCTTTGTCTGGCCGCCTAATTGCCGGCGGACAGGATGGATGGCGGGACCGACAGCCGCGGAATCCCTAATAAAGGCCGCGGCCGCCGGGGAGGGAGCGTAGAAAGGAGGGGAAGCAAGAGGAAAAGGATGGAAAGAGATGGGAGGAAGTCCGGGGCAACGATTGCCCGCTCCCAGGCGCGCCCTGAAGCCCATCTATGGTGCGGGTCCAAGAGTGCGGGGTCAGGTCTTGTCTGCATATGGTGGCTGTGGGGCCATTCTATCTTCTGCTTGTCAGAGCAGGGTAAAACACCAAGGGCCCCAGGCAGCAAAAGCATCTTAGAGCCTATCTCACTTAGACAAAACCTAGAAATTTGGAGCTTGGCACTGTCTCCAGGGTTCCTGGCTCTCACCAGCCGGTGCCTTTTCCTCGGCTCACCACATCACCTCCTCTCACCTTTCGGCCTCCCGGCCTCCCAGCGCGGCATCCAATCTTCCTGAGGAGAAATGAGGGATCTTAGGGTTGTCTGTGCAGCCAATAGCCACATTTCATTACCCAGAGGCTGGAGTGTGAGCTCTGTGGGATTAGAGGGACGCAAAGGGAAGCAGAAAAGGAGTTGAGGACCAGGAGCAGAGGGAATTAGCTCTCTCTGGCCTAACAGGGACCTTGGATGCTATCTCCACTCTCGGGGGTTCTGGGAGCCTGCAGAGCCCCCCCCCCCCCCCCCCGCCTTTGGACCCAAAGCTGCCAGGAGCTGCTGGACCAGGTGGACTGGTTCAGGAGCGGGAGGCCTTGGGCCTGGCATTGCACCCTGGCTCTGGACCCAAGGTGGAGGCCCATAAACTTCACAAGGAGATAAGTGTGCAGAGGTTCTTGAGCCACCACTATTTCCCCATTCTGTAGGAAAGGACAACTAATTTTAGCTCCTTGAGCAAATTTTCCTCTAACTCACTTCATTTTCTGTTCCCTCTATTTCTGGGCTTCTTTCTCCTCTTCTAACTGAACAAATTCTCAAACCATGGCCTTCCATTAGTTAACAGCTAAGCCATGTTAGAGATCAGAGTTAATAGTACTGAGTGGTTTGGGGACCGTAAAGCCTGCCCTTTTGGCCTCATACATATAGGTTTCCTCTGAGATCCCATTAAATCTCACTTCACACTCCTGTCCTGATTTCTCCCTCCCAGTGCCTCAGGCACCACTTGTCTCTTTTCCAGGGCCCTGGGAAAGAAGCTAAGCTATCATAACTCTAATTCTAGGATTGTCCCTTACAGGGTGAGACTGGACAAGCCATTTCCCCTTTCTAGGTCCAAGTTTCCTTATCTATAAAATGGGAACAACGTGTTCACCTCTCAGGAGTGTTATAAAGGTGCATGATAAAAGTTCTAAAATACAATACTCAATACTGTTATTTCTCTTTCCATGCAATCCACTGACCTCTCAAATGGACTAAGTTCTCTTTTCTGGAACCAGAAACCTAGTCTGTATCCAGCAGTATGTGACCTCAAGTAAAAAAGCTGAAAGCCAGAGTATAGGAACAGGGAGGGTGAACCATCCCTGTGAGGAACAGGGAAGAGGAAAGAGAGTAAGGGAGGGATAGTGCCTCCTTAGATCTTCATGGAACACTAGCCAGATGGTTCTTCTCTTCTTACAGATGAGGATACTGAGGTTTGTGCAAGTAATGGAGGCAAATCACACTGCCAGAATCTTCTCTTTCATAAACTCTATTGTTTATCTTCCTATCCCCTTTCTTTCCTTGAACACATCTGGGTCAATCACAAAAAGTGTAAGAAAAATGGGTGTATGCACTTAAGAAGCTGAGCCAGGAGAATTGCTATAAGTTAGATGACAGCCTGGGTTACATAGCTGAGTTTAAGGCCAGTCTAAACTATATACAAGACCCTGTCTCAAAAAAAGGGGGGGGCAACAACAAAAAAAACCTTTCAAGAAGCTAGGACCTCTCTGCTCAAGTTCATAAAATTTTAACACAGAAACTTCTACAGAATAGAAGACACATATCACATGCAAATCATATGCAAATCACATAACATCAACAGTCTGATCCTTAGAACTCTGACACACACCTGGCTATAGCCCTGGGGGGAATTTTGGGGAGACCCTGGGTTCTGGGATAGATGGAGATGCGTTCCACTTAGGGTTTGGTTGTGGAGTTAAGATTCACTTTAGGACTGAAGAGAACTGTACTGTATCCTTTGGGATTAGGGGCAGAGTTCATATGTAATCAAGGGAACCATTAATGCAGTATTCAGACTAGGTGTGATTTCAAACAGCACCCAGGGAACTGTTAAAGTGATCCTCGACTATCCCCTACCAACCCACCCCTAAACCCATGGCCTCTTTTTTATTTTCTTTTTTGGTACCCGGGCCTCTCTGTCCTGCAGGGCATAGCTCTCTTTATCTAATTCTATCTTTTTTATTTTTTTATTTTTTTTGGTCTTTTTCGTTTTTATCAGTACCAGGGATCGAATTCACTGCCTGCTTGCAAGGCAGGCGCTTATGCCGCTGAGCTAAATCCCCAGCCCCCATCTTTACCTAATTCTATTCCTAAGTACCCTTCCAAAGCTCGAGGTTTGGCTATCAGGAGAGCTCTGGGTAAATTGTCCTGAACCTGGCCTGGGCCCTAGTATTCCCTCTTGATTTCTGGCCTCCTGAGTACCGGCTGGTCTTAGCCTCATCCAACTCCCTCCTCGGACTGACGGACAAATGTGACAGCTGCAGGGGAAGCTTTAAGGACCTGGTGAGCTGGCAGCTTCATTCCAGAGAGTGAGGAAAGAGCAACGGAACATGAATAAATTCATGGAGCTGGCCCCTTGGCTCCCTGTAAGCCAAGCCTGCTCCCCCATCACACACGCTGCGGCTGGCTGCTGGCAGCCCTGCTGGTCACCACTGCTTACCGACTAGGCTGGGCATGGAAGGAATGGGGGACTCTATAAAAGTGGCCTGCTACCTGCAAGGGGCTGAGTGAGGGGCTCAAAGAGGAGTGCTGGGGAGTAGGATGAGTGGGGTGGGGAGCAGGGCTGGGCAGAAAGGGCCTCTATTGAGTTGGGCAGGCAGGGGAAGGAGGAAAAAAAGCGGGTGGCAGCACTTGGGGTGGATGACTCCAGTAGGGGAGGCTGGTGTGAGCCAGGCCTGCTCTTTCTAATCCATCCATCATTCAGCCTGGGGGAGCAGATCTGGAATTAGACATTCACTGGCCGAAACGGCCCTCAAACACCCCCACCACTAGGAAGATAAATGGTGACAAAGACCTTGAATAAAATTTGTATTTATGGTTGAAGCAGGAGGCCCCTCCCCCACTAACATCCAATCCATTCAGCCACCTAGGCACCTCTCCTAACCCAGACACAGACCCAGCCTCAGCGAGCTTGTCTCCCCTCACCATTACGGGAAAGGAGTACAGGAACTGAGAAAGGAGAAAATCATCTTCTAACCAACAACCATGCCCTGGTGTGCCTTGTGCTCCATTTTACACAACATATTCCTTACATTACATTCCTGATTTTTCTTTGTCATTCAGAGGTCTTTGCCTTTGCCAATCTCTATGGTCTCCAAACATCACTTTCACCAGTCTAGAGCCCCTTCTCCAAGCCTCTGGCCTGGGTCCCTGAGAAGGTGCAGCCAAGAGTTTTCTACCCAGACCCTGATAAATCAAAGTTGGCCTTCCTTCTTGGTCACCCAGAAATCAGACAGTCATAGGAAGGTGCTTAGCACCTAATCTGCATTTCAGTTGCATCAATTTGCATAACTAACCAAATACCCATTCTGTGGGGCTAACTTTTCAGGGTTTTGTCTAAGAGCAGACACTTTTGGGGGAGGTGGCTGGGACAGAGACTTCTGGGGCTGGAAGCCTCTGTGACTAGGGTGGAGGAGAGTTGGGAAGGGCTGGCAAGTGAGATGAGAGCCGCCTTGGATTTTCTTTCTTCCCAGGAGACCCCTATTCTTCAGTCCTGACATAGGAGAAATGGCATTTGTGGTCTCAAATATAGGGACAAGGAGGAGGATGAAAACAAATGCCTCTCTTCAAGCAGCCCTCTCTCACATATACAAAACAGTACATAATTCACAATCCCACTCACCCTGGGACACACGAGGCCAGGATCCCTTGGCCACCTCCACACTTTGCAGCACACTGTCACAGTGCACAGGACCAGACTCCACCACTCGGCTGGCAGAACCGCCCCGCCCCCTCTTCCCCACAGTTGATATGTCACATTGGAGTCCGAACACGGACCTGGGTGTCTCTCTGCAGCGCGCCATTTACATTTCTCTCTGGATCTGTCAACCTGTCTCGGCTCCTGTCTCTCTCTCTCTCCCCGTCTCTGTCTCTCCCTCTCCTCCTGTGGGGCTGTCAGTTAGTCTCTTCTTGCAGCTTTGTCTCTGCATCTCTATCTGGCTGTCTCTGATTTCTTTGCAGCTTCTTCTCTGCTTTTCTGTCGATTTCCTGCTGGCTTCCCGAGGTTCTCTTTTTCTCTCTCTCTCTCTCTCTCACTCTCATCCCCCCATCTTTGCACCCCCAAACCTAGGAGCTGGAGTTGGGGGCAGGAAATTTGCTTTTTACAATTCAGGCCAACAAGTATCCTTTAAACCTTTCATCATATGTTATTCAGTGTTCTCCTGGGTCACGGAGGGGCGAGTTTCCATGTTTTCTCGCCCTTCTTGTTTTGCTTTCTGTTTGTGAGCACTCCCACCCCAGCTCTTCAATTCACTTATCTTCTCTGTATCTTGACCCTTGTTTATCCTATCTCTGATTCTGGCTTTCTCTGGGCTCTGATAACGTCAAACTTCAGGTAGAGGTTGAAAGTAAGGAAGGTGGGAGCCGCGAGTCCCTGCGGAACCTTCAGAGGCAGCAATGAACCCAGAGGCCCGGACCTGGCACGGGTGGGGGTGGGGGCTGAAGGGGGCGGTGATGCCCGCCCCGCCCCCGCGCTTCCGCATCTGGGCACCAGGGGTCGCTCCAGCTTCGGCCACTTATAGTGGCTCCCGCCGCGCGGCGACTCACACCACCCGCACTGCCGCCCCGGGAGGAAGGGGAGGAAGGTTAGGGACTCAGAGGGAAAGCGCTTGCAGGAGACGGACGCCGGGCCAAGGCTCTCACTCGGGCTGCAGCCCCGGCTGGGGAAGAAGGCGGGTCGGGGTTCCCCAAGAGGTAGAGCGTACAATCCCTGAGGAGGTTGCGTCTAGCGGGTGGTACCCGCAGCTCAGAGCCTGGGACGTCCAGAGCGCGAGGAGTCCCTATTCCTGCGGGGAGCGGTCTGTTTGGGAAGCCTGGGACCTTGGCACCGCCATCTGTGAGAAAGCAGATGCTTGGCGAGCAGGCATCCAAGACCTGTAAGAAACCAGCCGTCCAAGAAGCCTCGATCCCAGGCGCCCGGGACCGTTAGGACTGCACTGAAGGGTAACAAGATCACGGGTTCTGACCCGCCAGGGGTGCTTCTGGCCCAGCCCGTGGGGAGACCTCCGCCTTGAAGGGCGGGTTGGGGAACGGCGCCGCTGCGGCGGGAGCCCCCAGGAGCAGGGGGCCGGGCGCAGCTGTCGAGCTGCCCCAGACCCAGGCAGGAGCCCGGCCACCGCCTCCTGGGCCTGCGGAGAGCCCCAGGCCTCCGCCGCCATTGCGCCCAAAAACGAAGAGGATTTGCTGGCCCTGGCCGCTTCGCGGCTGAGCCGCCGCAAGCGGGTGGCGGGCGCGGCCGTCGGGGTGGCCATGGTGCTACTGCTGCTGGTGGCCATCCCGCTGCTGGTGCACAGCTCGCGCGGGCCGGCGCACTATGAGATGCTGGGTCGCTGCCGCATGGTATGTGATCCACACGGGCCCCGAGGCCCGGGCCCCGACGGCGCGCCCGCTTCCGTGCCCCCGTTCCCGCCAGGTGCCAAGGGAGAAGTGGGCCGGCGCGGAAAGGCAGGCCTGCGGGGGCCTCCGGGACCCCCAGGTCCCAGAGGACCCCCGGGAGAGCCCGGCAGGCCAGGTCCTCCCGGCCCTCCAGGCCCAGGCCCGGGCGGGGCGGCGCCACCTGCCGGCTACTTACCTCGAATTGCCTTCTACGCGGGCCTGCGGCGGCCTCATGAGGGTTATGAGGTGCTGCGTTTTGACGACGTGGTGACCAACGTGGGCAATGCTTATGAGGCGGCCAGTGGCAAGTTCACCTGCCCCATGCCGGGCGTCTACTTCTTCGCTTACCATGTGCTCATGCGCGGCGGCGACGGCACCAGCATGTGGGCAGATTTGATGAAGAATGGACAGGTGAGATGCCCCTCTCCCACTAAGTCCCAGATTCTAGACTGGAAGCTTCCTAAATCGCTCTGCACTCATCCCGCAATTCCAGTTCTTTTCCCGAAACAGCGTCAGTGAATCCAACAGGGAAAAACTGCCAAGAACTAATAAATAACTTCATTTAGCTAAACTGGAATTGGGGACCAGAGAAAGATCCCTTGCCCAAGTCTCATGGAGCAGTAGGTCTCCAAATTACAACTTTAGGCAGCTGTGTTGTCCTACCAATTAGTCCCTTTTGTCCTCCTAGCTTGATCTCCCTTTTCTCTGGGGTACAGTCTTCCTGGCTTTTGGGTTTCCTCCGGAGGTGACATTTATTTGGCTCTTTTGAATCAGAATGGAACTCACTTCTCAGGCAATCACTAGTCAGTACATACCCCTTCCCTCCATGTGAGGAAACTGAGCTTGGATTTTCATGGAAACAGTAAAAATAGAAAACACTAGCCCGCTTGGTAGGCAGTGGTCCTATTGTTCACCTCAGATCATGGGGCCAATACTAGCCCATTCCTTGCTCTTGTGCTCTGATAATATTGAGTCTTGTAGGTAGGAGTGGGAAATGGTCTGACAGTTCAGGGACCAGCAAGGTGATGGAAGAAACAGATTTGGAAGAATGAGGAAAGGAACAGGGAGGACCAGGACCTTGGACTGTGGCCTGGTCCATAGTTCTCACATCCTTCCTTAGCAACCAGGAAGCCTCCAGGTTCTCTGCTTGCTGGCCCTGCAGGCAGTCATTTTTCTCTGGTTTGGTGTGTGTGGGGGGAGGTATAGCCCCAAGGAGCTGGAGACACACAGAGCTGCAGGGTGAGGCCTCTGGTTGGGGTAGAGGCAGCTGACAGGAGGATGCAGGCCACATAGGGAGGTTGGGGCTGAGCAGAGATCTCTGAATGCCCCATATGAGGAAGTAGGGGCTGGAGGGGTGACCTGAGTGCATCAGGCCTATTCCTTGGGGTTCTAAGTCCTGGGCCCAGATTTGCCGCAACACACTTCCGCATTAAGGAAGACATCCCTGGAGACCTACCTCCTGCACCTGCTTTGGGGTCTCCTCCCAACAGAATCTCCCTGGAAAGTGAAACAAAGCAAGTGAGAGTTCCAGGGTGTCTACTTGGGGGTAAGATAGTGTCCATAAGGAAGTGTGAGTGTGCATGACTAGAGTATGTCCGTGGGGTGGGGAGGGTGAATGTGTAAGGAGCATGGTGGTGTACATGGGCAAATGGCACCAAGTGGTCATGCTTGGTTTATGCAGCTTGTCTGGGAGGAAGCCCAGGGGCAAGTATGTAATTTAGAGTGTGTTGGTTTTGGAGGGGGCGGGGACCATGCTGTTCCCACTCTGTATTCTGTCCTTGGCTTGGGTGCTGCAGCCCTGGGGATGGTAAATAATGATTAGAATAATGTTGAATAATTAATGAGTTAATAACCAGCCCCAGTGGGATAGGAAGAGGGGGGCTGAGGAGAGTGCTCGCAGCCTGAGGTAATAGCCACGAAGCCAGAGGGGGAAGGTAGGTCTCTTGTTTCCACAGACCACCTCCATGGTGAGCACCAACTGAGAAATGAACACCCCAGAGGCCAGGGCCTTAGCACTGCACTGCATGCTGTGGCTCACTTGTAGATTCATCTATGACCCAGTACAATTTAGGACTTACTGAAGATCTCAGTGGGCATAGAATCCTAAAAATGATCTGACAGGTTTTTAATTTTATTTTGTTTTGGCTTTTTTTGGAGACAATCTTCCTATGTAGCCGAGGCTGGCCTTGAACTCACAGCAATCTTTCTGCCTCAGCATCTGGAGTACTGAGATCACAGGAATGTGCTACCATGCCCCACTCTAATTTTTTTATTTTTTTGTACTGGGGGTTGAACTCACATCCTCACACATTTGCCAGGCAGGTGCTTATGCCACTGAGCTAAATGCCCAGCACAGCTCTTAATTTTTAAATAAGAATAATCATAGCAAATCTTCTATAATAGCCACTGTTCTAAACATGTCCCACATGTAGCAACCCATTTAATCCTAATAACCTGAGGAGGTAGCTTCTCTTATTACCATACCCCAAAACCCTCACCCTGAATTTTATAGCTCAGATTGGGGCCCAGAGTAGTCCTGATGTGTCCCAAGTTGCACTGCTGATACATAGTAGAAACAGAGCTACTCCTAGCTTCATCTTGTCCTTTCCAGCACCACAGTCCAATTCTCATAGCACCACCTTCTCCGCTGCATCGCAGGTCACCCTGCTCCCATCAGACCATGAGCAGGTCATTTCCTCTCCTCGTTAGGTCCGGGCCAGCGCCATTGCTCAGGATGCAGACCAGAACTATGACTATGCCAGCAACAGCGTCATTCTGCACCTTGATGTGGGTGATGAGGTTTTCATCAAGCTCGACGGTGGGAAGGTGCACGGAGGCAACACCAACAAGTACAGTACCTTCTCGGGCTTCATCATCTACCCAGACTGAGCTGGGCAGCATCCCCCACGCCTTTGTTCCCCTTTGGCTCCAGTCCTCACTCACTTCCAGCTGGCCCGCCCAAGGTGCCACCCCATCCCTTAAGAACCTGGGGCAGACCCTCCAGCTCCTGAGGCAGCCAAAGGGCAGACTCTTGGGGCTCGAGCGGACCGGCAAGAGGAGAAGCCAGGTGCCAAGGGAGGAACCATTTGCATCCTGCATCCGCAAGCTGCATGGGAAAGGCAGCAGGACCAGAAAGGCTGAGGTGGTGATCTGCTCCTTTGCCTGGAGCTGGGGAGCAGCTCCACTAGCCTGGGCTCAGAGGCCCAGAAAGCGGAAGAGAAGCCAAGGTGGCTTAGGAGAGAAAGAACAGAAACTAGGAGCCAGGGTAGATGAGAAGACATGCTAGGTTGGAGTAGGCAGGCGCTGGTCCTCAATAATGACAATTTCCTCTGGCTGTCCTTTGCTCCCTCATCTCCATTTTCAGGCTCCAGCCTTGGCAGCCTTCTTGTGAACTGGAGGTACTGGTGAATTCTTTCCTAGCATTTAAATTCATTCTGTACAGTCACCATTCCACCCCTTCTGGGGCCTAGGCCTCAGGGGCTATAGTTGCTGTTGCCTCTTCCAATAAAAATGAGGTTGGGGGAATCGTGTGTGGCTGCTTTAACTTGGTGCAGAGTGGGGGGAAAGTGGTGGCCCTTTCCTTGACCTCCAGAAAGGATTCCCACCCTGCTTGTCAGTCTGCCATTGGGAAATTTTAAGTTACTACTGACAACCGTGGGGGAGGGGGAGCAGTCAAGGCTTCTCTGCTGTGGGTGGGAGTATCCACTCCAGGAGAGCCCCCAAGCCCCTGTAGGGGACGGGAACACCAACACCAATCAGAGGGACACAAGGATGGATTCCAGAGGTCTGGCTCTGGGCTCTGCCATTCTGCCTAGTGCAGAGAAGGCTATGTAGCAGAGCTGGGTGTTGTTTTTGAGATGGGATTTTATTATATTGCCCCAGGCTGGCTTCTAACTCCTGGGTTCAAATGACCCTCTCAACCCAGCCTCAGCCTCTGAGTGGCTGGGAATACAGGTGTGTACCATCAGGCCTGCTAGCAGAAGAGCTCTAGAGGATGAGAAATTGATCTCAAGGGTAAGGGAGATGCAGAGACCACTATAATTGACCCCAACCCACTCAGAGATTGTTGAGGGTGGGCAGGGAAGTACAGCTTCTAAGGGAATCTGGCTGGATTGGATTTTGAGGCCTTGGAAACCTCTGAGCTGGAGCACACTGCCACCATGTGGACAGCTGGAGAGCAGCCAGTGGCTGCCCAGTTTGGATGCTTTAGACTCACTAGCTGGCTATTCAAAGACTATAGAAACTTTATTAAAGTTAATAAAAGAATGTTGGGCCCCAGTTCCATGGGAACACCAAATAAATAAGGACTAAAGGGAAGGGGTGATCTGGGGAGGGTGGGAGTGGGTGGAGGTGGGAGCCTCAGGATGGAGAGCTCTGAGAAGCTGCAGAACCAACCGGAATGAAACACTGGAGAGGAAGAGAGAGATCTTGTCACATTCTCACTACCTTCCAGTAAAGGAATGGAGATTGGCCCCTGCCACCACCCAGGCCTGGACTGGAGGCTCACCAGGGCGTCCTGCCATTCAAGCAGTGTGGCCACAGGGTTGGTACAGACCCGAGTTGGGCCTGGGGAAGGGACTCGGCTAGTGTAAAAGGCACACTCATCGTCCAGTCGAGCCTCATGGGAGCAGTGGATAGCAGTGAGACATGCTTTGAGGCGCTGCCTCAGGGCCAGTGTTTGAGGGGCCAGACTGCTAGGACCTGGGGACCAAAATTTAGGGAGTTGGTCTGAGGTTCTATACTCCCACCATGTATGGTCCCTTTCCCTCCCAAAAGGGCCAACCTGAAAGGAGGAGCAGCTCCTCCCTTATCCTGAGAATAGCCAGGCACAAAGAGAGACACAGCAGAGGGAAGAATGGATAGCAACACTTGGTAAAGGTCAGGGCCTCACTCCCAGTGATAGGACCTCCTTTGTTCAACCCCTTCCCAGACAACTCCTTACCTGCCTGGCCTGTCAGGGGCCTTGTAGACTGCAGTGAGCAGATAGGGGGGCTAGCACAAAGGGGGCGTTGGGAAGAGAAGGTCAGGCTGGTGGTTGCTGCAGCCCTCTGACTGCAGCAGCGCCATGGACTGGCCTCTAGGCATTTTGGTTCCAGGCAGCAAGTCCCCAACCCTACAGTAGGACAGGCCTCTTCGGACACAGTCTGTCCCTGGGGGCTAGGCTGAAGGGGTCCAGGCTCTACTGGTGGGCAGGGCTCTGCTTTCTCAGGCTGCTTCTGGGAAGGGGACTCTGGTGTCTCTGGCCTAACCTCAGAGCAAGACTCTGGAGGCCCTGGCTCCATTGGTGGGCAGGGTTGTATCACGTCTGGCTCTGGTTCTGTCACCCCAGAGCAGGGCTGTGCTTCCCCACACTCCTCTGAAGGGCAGGGCTCTGGCAGCTTGGAGTGTTGTGACAGTTCAGGAAGGTGGGATGTTCCAGAGTTATGCTTTGGGGCATTCAGGGTCCTAGAAATCTCAGCCAGCAGGGGCTGAAGTTCAGCCATATCCAGAGAGCAGCTTCCATTAAGGTGGGCATACTTGTCCACTGCCAGCCCTTCTACCTCCTGACGCAATAACTGCTGCAGGATACTGATGCGCTGCAGTGGGAGAGAGTACCCAAGTGTGACGTTAGGATCTGGTGCAGGTAGTCTTCCCACACTACTGCTTTCCCCTCCCCCAGCTTCCCCTTCTCCAGCCCTGTCATTGCCATGAAGGCTTTGCCCCATAGTCCCACCTGCATTTTTAGCTCCTGGAAGTTGAGGGCTCCATTCGGGTGTGATCCAGGACTTGCCACGGCTGGTTTCCCAGACTGTTCCTGCAACCTTACACCACTGTCCTGGTCAAACAACCGTACAGCAATCTGCTCCTGCCACATAGATGGAAAGAGGGCAGGTGAAGAAACCAGGCTGGGGAGGGAAGAAGATCAGTCTGAGTCCTCAACTGAGAGATCTAAGTCTCTGATTGAGAGGCCCTTGACTTTAAGAGTGGAAGGGCAGATGGAGATAGAGCTCAACAGCCCAGCATTTGCCTGAAAAGTGCACGTCCTAAGTTTGATATTCAGTAACAAAAACCAAACAAAAAAGAGTAGAAAGGCAGCAGAGAAGAACAGAGAGATGGAGAGGTAGATGGCTTCTCTGGAGAACATATCTGCTTTACATATCTACAAGGGGATGGCACAGGGGACCGCAGCATGGACAAGCTTCTGATACTTACCCAAGGCAGAGCAAGCTCTTCAGGACAGGACTGAGGGGTGAGGTCACTCAACCATTGGGCCTGCGACAGAAACGAGGTATTAGGAAGAACAAGTAACCCATAGATGGATGCGGCCTCCTTAGTCTGTTTTAATTCTTTCTGTACCCCTCCGTCTCCTTCCTTCCTCAAGTCTGGGCCCAGGCCAGCTACCTCTCCTGACCTTTCTTACCTGCTGAACTCTGGGGGTGGATGGAGTGAACTGGGTTTTGGGTCGAATGGCGAGACGCTGCAATAATGAAAATGAAGTCTGGGGAGGTAGGCGGATGGCTGAGCAGGAAAAACACCCAGGCCAACAGGGTTCTCTGGCCAGATTGTTCTGTTCCTGCTCACCCCCCAAGTTTTCAATACAAACCAGAGCAGGGATGCCAGGCGAGGGTACACGCTGAGCCCGTCCAAAGGGTGACGGATGGGTGACAGAAGGCGGTACCACACGGCCAGGCATGGACTGGGCCAAAGGAGCAGAGGAGGCCATCAGGCCATCCTGGGGAGAAGGAAAGAGTTGAAGAGTGATTTCTTCCCCCTTCTTATGTCACTGTGGCAGTCAATATGATGCTCAAGAATGAAGTCATATCATGTCACCCCCTTTATTCATCCCTCTTGGCTTCCCACTCATTGCAAGTGAAAAAAGCCAAAGATTTACATAAGATTTTATTTATTTATTTATTCATTCATTCATTTACTTTTGTCTTTTTGAAACAGGGCTTCACTATGAAGTTCAGGCTGGCCTTGAATTTAAAGCAATCCTCTTGCCTCCCTCCCGATTGCTGGGATTACAGGCATGCCCCACCACGCTCGGCTAGATTTATACAAATTTAAATCCTTACCTAATCTGATTCTGTTATTGCTATAAACTTTTCCCTTTTTGTTCTCCTATTCACTTGGCTTCAATTTCACTAGTCTCTCTTGTGCTGACCTACAAATGCACTAAACACATTCTCTCCTCTGGTCTTGGCATCTGCGGCTCTCTTGGTTTAGAATGTTCTCCCCTAGATAAATGCATGGCTCAGGCCCTCCACTCCCGGTCTTTGCTTAAATATCATCTTCTTGGTGAGGCCCCTGCCCAATCTACATTGAATTGTGATAACAACTCTGCCATTCTCCAGTTCCCTTCAGGGTCTTTTTTTCCCCCCACCAAAAATGTATCACCATCTGACAGTCTGTATATTTCAGAGTTTGTCTCCCTTTCTCAAGCATTTATGTGCAAAGCCTTGAATAGTAACTCTACTTAGTAAATGGTTAGTAACTATTTGTAGAATGAAGCAGTGAATGCTTTTGGTTGGTCAGTAGCAGATCTGTCTCACCCCTGACACTGATCTGATGGTGATAAAATTATGCCAATATGTGACTTCTCCCTCCAAGCCCCAGTTACCTGGTAATGAGAGGTCAGTTCCACTTTGCAGAGGACTTGAGTCTATGTGTGGCAAACCCATAACATCCTGAGGGCAGGCCAGCCTGAGTCCATTCCCAATCCTAAATTCCCCTAAGCATCTCCGGTGGGCCCCATCCCCACCCCAGGAGGTTCCCATCTCACCCTAGGGTGTGCTGTCTCTCTTAAAGGTACTCGCTGGGCCAGACCTAGGAGAGCTCCTCCTCCTTCATCTGAATGAGGTATCCTTTCATGTTCTTCAGAGAGAGAAGCTAGGAGACAGGAAATCTGCTGTAGTATCTAGAACATCCACCAGAGTCTAGCACAGGGCTTTGCAACTTCTGAAAAAGGTGCACCAGTTCAACAGCTCCCATTGTCCATCACAGTCAGGGACCCTGAGAGTCCAACACAATCTCAGTAAACCCTCATCAATCTGAGCATTTTATGAGTGAGTAAAAGTAAGGTCAGTCTTGCAGAAGTGCCAGAGAGAGGGTGGAAATGGGGACACAAGTACAAGTGGCCAACCTCTAGCCTATCCAAAAGCCAGAAGGTCTTTTTCTGACCTCGTTCCTCTCCCCACATATTGTTTTAGAACATAGTCACTGGATTTTTATTTCATTGCTTATTATTGTTGTTGTTGTTATTATTATTATTGCTTTTTGCAGTGATGGGGATCAAACCCAAGGACTTGCACAAGCCAGGCAAACACTTTACCACTGTGCTAAGCCCTTGTTTTCTGAGACAAAGTCTTGTTATGTAGTTCAGGCTCATCTCAAATTTGCAGTGATCCTCCTACCAAGTACTGGGATTCCAGGAATATGCTATCATGCCCAGCTCTTTTCCAGTTCATCCATTCATTTTGCAGTGCTGGGGTCAAATCCAGGACAATTCAAGTGCTAAGCAAGTGTTCTACCAATGCTCCTGGCTCTCCTGGCCCTGCATATCTAGCCTCCCTGCCTCCCCATTTTCTCACCCCACTCCTTCTCTCCAAAGCCTGCTGAGCTTTCTCTTGTCCTATGCCTTACTGCAGGAAACACACTCACCAGGCTGCGCAGGGGTTTCCAGGAGCAATCCTGAGACCTGGCTCACTGAAGTCCTGATGACAATAAGAACCACAGAAGTCAGAGTACCAACAGATGGGCATGTGCTGAGTGCTGCACACTTCATTCACTTCATTTTCACAGCACCTCTAGTGATGGTACAAACATTGTCATTTCCCAGGTAAAGGGACCAAAGCTCAGAGACATTAGCACAAGCCTGTACAGTTGGTAGTGGTAAGGCTCAGGAGTTCAATCCAAACCCCACTGATTGCCACAGCCCATGTTGTAGGTGAATGAAATAGCATCTTGCCTCTGTCTTCTTCCTGAAAGTCTGAACCATACTACAAAGGATCATCCTGGGCAGCCATGGGTTTCCCCTTGCAGGGGGCCCTAAAGCTACCAGAAGGCCCTAGATGTGGGGAACCCTGGTCTTGGACACTGAGTCACTCTTTCTCATATGACCTTCTCTACATCTTCTGCTTACCAGTTCTTGCCACTTGTCTCTCTTCTGAGCTCCTGTAAATGAGGGCGAGTAGAGGCATGAAAAGATCCTGAAGGTAGAGCCTGATCCATAGGAGCAAGAGAGAAAAGCAGAGTCAAAGGTGGCCCAAATCTACAGGCCTCACTACCGAGCCCACCACCCTGATAGAACCCCTTTGGCTCCCAGGGCCCTGCTTTGTCCCTTGGAAGGAAGCTCCCAGAAACACTGAATATCAGTTCCTCCTGGGCACTCACCAGAGCCTTCAGCCTCTGGGGACACAAAGTCAAACCCCGGGGTCCAGATCCCTCCAGCCTTGAAAAGCAGGAAGCCCTGGCAGGGCCTAGTTGGTGCATGGGGGTCCTGGGGGCCAAGTATGCAGAGGCCCGAGAAACCTAACCAAAGTTATTAGCATGAGCTCAGTATTTTCTCCTCAGTCCCCCCCAGCCTGACCTCACATCTGTTCTCATTACCTGGCCCCGCCGGATGGTACCTCCCTGGCTCTCTCGAACCAGTACTCTCTGAGCCAGGCTGGACTGACGCCCCATTGGACAGCTCTTCACCCCCTCACCTGATAGGATGGTAGCCAGGGCTACAGGGTCAGCCACAAATTCTATAGGCCCTGGAGCTTCTGCAAGGTTAAAGAAGAAAAGGTAAGGGGCAGGGAAATAGCTCAGTGGCATAAACGCCTGCCTGGCAAGAATGACGTTATGAGTTTGATCCCTGATGCAAAAAAGAAGAAGTAGGAGGAGGAGGAGGAGAAGGAGGATGAGGATGAGGACGAGGAAGACAAAGAGGAGGAGGAGGAGGAGAACAAGAAAAGGTGAGAAGGAACAGGAAGGGGGAAGCTAAGGAGCTAGGGACTCTGGCACAGTCACCCTAAGAGCCAGAAGTGGGCAAAACAGTCTCATTTAATTGAACCCAGATTACCAAATGTTCACAGAACTTTAGGTTTGGTTCCTTCCTTTTTTTTGAGACAGTGTTTCACTATATAATCCAGGCTGGTTTTGAACTTGCTGCATTGCTCCTGCTTCAGTGCCATGAGTGCTGGGATTACAGGTGTGCACCACCATGCTTGGTTTACTACCTTTCTTTTTTTTTTTTCACTTCATCTTTTGCATTTGATACTTTTTCCTTCTTTTTCTTTTCTTCCTTTGCTTACCAGGGACTGAACCCAGGATCTGGCACATGCTAGGCCTGGCACTAAACTATATCCTCAACCACCATTTTTTAAAAATTTGAGACAGGATCTCACTAAGTAACTTATGCTAGCCTTGAACTTGTGCTTCTCCTGACTCAGCCTCTTAAGTAGCTGGGACTAGAGGCATGTGTCTAGCATATAACACGACTCTAAGTTCAGGACCAAAAACCCTATTGTTAAACTATTGAAAGTAACATACTTAAGCCAAAGTATGGGCAGATTCTGTAAAGAACTGGGTTCTGCAAAGAATTAGGAGAACCTAGAGTTTAAGTCTTGAGAAGAAATGATACTGCTGAAAAGGAGAAAGCTGGCTTCTAAGAGTGTTCCAGGAGCAGAATTAAGACCTTTTATTTAAAACCTTTTTGGTACTGGTGACTGAATCCAGGGTCCTTCACACTGAGCTACATCACCGCCCTTTTTTATTTTGATATGGGGTCTTGATAAATTGTTCAGGTTGGGCTTAAACCTCCTGCCTCAGCCTCCCAGAGCAATAGGATTACAGGTGCACACCATCACATTCAGCCACCAGGACTCTTACAGTAAGCAGAAAATCAAGGAAGTTAAGTGCCCTCCAGCCTCTCTGGCCATTCCACTCTCACACAGCTAAGGACGTCTCCAACATGCACCTGTTTGTGGAGGGGGCCCAAGCCCCGAATTTTGTTCCCCAGGGCTAGGCCTGAGCTCCTCCAGGGGGTTCCGAAGCTGAGTGATCGCCATCGACCTTTGTGATTTCTCTGTTTGGTGTGTGGCTTTCGAACTGGGGCCTGCTGAGTCAACAAAGTTACGTTGAATACTGAGCTGAGACTTCTCCATCAGAGTCTAGGGGCGAAGGGGGAGAAAAACCTGGCATTCAGCGCTGGGGTGTATTTGCTTATGTGTGTTGCCTCCTACTGGTACTCTCTACCCACCAGCCCCTCTTACCCTTGGATCTTGGTTCTCCTGGTCCTGGGCGCTCGGTTTGACTGTGAGGAAAGGCGGGCGTCTCCGAGAGCGTACTGGGATCTTGCTGGGTGTAGGATCCCGGAGGAGGGGATCCTTCGTGGCTTGGATGGTGGTCATGGTGACTACAATGAGACAGGGAAGAAAAATGGCAGGATCGGGGATCAAAGTTAACCATTTCCCCGATACTTCCACCTCCACTTTTTTAGTTCATGCGCCGAGAAGCCCCTAGCTCCTGCATGGCCGCTCTTTCCTGCTGCCACCTCTAGTCACCTCGATCTTGCTCTTTCGCCTGGCACCTCTGATTGCTCTCTTCCCTCTGAGATCCCGCAGCCCTCATTTCCTGCAGAATCCCTGTGCCGCACCGTCCCGAGAACCCTTTATGGTCGCCTCCACTTTCTTCGATTTCTCCCCGTTTCTGGACTTCTGCTGCTGCTACTTCCCCAGTTCGTAAAATACGCCAAGCTCCTGATTGGTTCGTCCAAGAGCTGAGGAGGTGCGTGACGTATGACTCAGCAGTCCAATCCGAGTGATTTGGAGGCGGGGTCAGAAGAAAGACTAGCTGTAGAGCCGCTTTTTGCCAAGGAAAAAATTGACTCGGCTTGAGTAGCCAATCCGAGAGCGGAGCGCGAGTGGAAGGCGGGGAAAAGGATAGGCCTAGGCCGTTCTGAGGCCTTGAAAGGCGCGGCACTCAGAGTCTGGGCCTCAACGGGCACTACCTTGTTCTCGCGAGGTCTCCAGATTGGCGAGGGCAGGGTTGTCTACAGTGAGGCGCGACAGCATTGTGGGGAGGGTTGGATCTCCCCGTTGCCCCGTGACGTTGGAGGAGTCCCCGAGCCCAAAACTCGACTCCGACCATAACGCGGGCCGACTTTGGGGACGCCATTCCAGACCTTTAAAGAAAACATGCTCCTGAGAAGAGCAACCGCTTCCAAACTGGCAGAGGGCTGAACGGAATTGAATCTACTGAGAACAAAAAGAGAAAAAACATAATTTGCTCCCTCGGGTCTCACAACCTGGTGAGGTAGTCCGACTCGATGTGGCTGGAACTCTGTCAATTCCAGAAATAAGAGGCTCTTCAAGTGACTTGCAGTCTTCTTGCCTTAGCCTTTTCCCCACCCTTGGGAAGAGTTCTCCCCACCTTCAGGCTGTCTTTTCCAGCCTGAATGTCAGGGAGAGTTCACCTGCCTATTATTGGCAGGCAGGGGGGTAAGGCAGTCAGGTCCTAGAATAGCTTTAGAGTGGAAGGGATAACCCCTAGAAGAAGACAGGAAATAGACAATAGTTTCAGATTTACAAAGCTAGTAATATCCGCCCTATGACCACAGCAATTCCTATTACACAAATCAGGAACTTAGGAGCTGTTTTATTCCTCTACTCATCCTCTTCCTTTCCACATCCCAACTGTCTTTCACTTTTACTAATTTTACCTTGTAAATAACTTCAGAATTCACATCTACATTACCACCACTTTAGTCCCCTAATCTCACCTGGACGATGCAAGAATCTCCCATCTGGGCTGGGGATTTAGCTCAGTGGCATAAGCGCCTACCTGACAAGCGTGGTCATGAGTTCGATCCCTGGTACCGCCAAAAAAAAAAAAAAAGAAAGAAAAAGAAAAAAAGAATCTCCCATCTTCCCTTCTCCCTTTCCATATGAATCTACCCTCGCCACAGTAGCTGATTCTCTCAAAATGCAAAACTGGTAATGAATGAACAATGGTAGAGACTTACATAGCATGCCTTGGGTTCAGTCCCCAGCAGCACACACACGCACACACACACACGGTTCTAGGCAGTGTTCTAGGTAGAATGAATAGTTGCAAAGGTAAGGAAAAAATATAGTGTTCAAATAATAGATCTGGAATGGGGTGTTCAGACAAACTTTGTTGTTACTATAGCCATGTACCTTGCAACAAAACATCAGAACTTGTTCCTCCTGACTAGTAGTAATATTGTCTCCAAACTGTTTGTTTTTGTTGCTTTTTTAAATGATTAGACAGAACTGCCAACTCTACCTTAGCATAAGAAACCATCTAAAATCTCTCCCCAAAATGTCCTTTTCCTCTTTTTTTCCTTTTATCCTTTTCCTTTTTTCCTTTCTTTTATTCCTCTTTTATCTTGTGAAACAACCTCAAACTTACAGAAACTTTACGTGAATATACATAATTTTTTCCTCATTCAAAAACAAATTGACAATGTCTTTTCCAGTCTCCCTCAAATACTTTAGAATGTATTTCCTGAAAGCAAGAACATTTTTCCACATAAGTGACCATAGCAATTAGAAGAATGATACTGACATGTGCGTACCAGCAAAGCTCAGACCTCCATGCAGATTCAGCTGGTTTTCTCCATAATTCGACTTCTCACAAAGGATCCCACCCAGAAACACATGTTGTATCTCTTTAGTCTCCTTCAGCCTGGAGCAATTCTCCTCTTTCCCCACTGCTGCCACCTCTTCTTCCACCACTTCCTCCTCTCCTTCTGTTTTTTGCAGTACTGGGGATTGAACTCAAGCCCTATGCATTAAGCTACGTCCCCAGTCCTTTTTTTGTTGTCATGTTATTATTATTATCATTATCATTAATTGTTTGGTTTTTTGAGACAGGGTCTCACTGTGTAGTTCAGGGTGGCCTTGAACTCGCTATGTAGCCCAAACTGATTTTGAGCTCATGAAGATCTTACAGCTTCAGTCTCCCAAGTACTGGGAGTAGTTATGTGCCACTGCACCAACTTTTTTGAGGGGCGGGGTAACCAAGGATTGAACTCACTACGTTGCGATTTCCAGGCAGGCACTTGAGCTGCTGAGCTAAACTCCCAGCCCCCACAGCATCAACCATTATTTTTTATTTTATTTAATTAATTTATTTTATTTACTTTTGTCCTGGGAATTGAACTCAGGACTTTATACTTGCCAGGCAGGTGCTTGTACTGCTGAGCTATATCCTTGGCCTATTTTTTTTTTTTTTTTTTTTTTGAAACAGGGCCTAAGTCACTAAATTGCCCAAACTGGGCTCAAATTTATGATCCTCCTGCTTTGGCCTCCTAAGTGCTGAAATTATACATCACCATACTTAGCTTGTTTTGGTGTTTTGAAACACAATCTCAAATAGGCCTTGAACTCACTGCCAAGCCCAGGCTGGTCTTGAATTTGCAACTGTGAGTTCTCTGCACCATTCCCAGGTGGGTGTATCTGGTTTTTTTTTTTTTGTCTTTTTCCTTTTTATCGGTACCGGGGATCGAACTCACAACTGCCTGCTTGCAAGGCAGGCGCTTATGCCACTGAGCTACATTCCCAGCCCTGTGTATCCGGTATTTCATCATAATTAAATTTGGTTAATCTGTGGCAGGGCTGTCACCGAAGGATGGTGTTCATCCTACTGCACCCTATCAGGCAGTTTCCCCCTCAACTCATCCTATTCTTTGGTTGCATTTGGATATGCCAGATTTCCCCCCTGTAAATTCCTCTTCATCTTTGTAATTAATAAGGATTCTGTTGAGTGGGAGAGTACATTGACATTGTATAAATATTAATCCCTCATCAAATTTTGCTATATTTAATTATATTACTATGAACTCCTGAATTTTTACTATAATGATTTACTATCCAATTACTCAAATACTAATATAGTTTTTATTGTTGTTTTTGTCTTTTTGAGACAGGGTCCCGATATGTAGTTCAGGCTAACCTTGGGCTCACTTTGTAGCCCAGGCTGGCCTCGAATTCCCAGCAATCCTCTTACCTCATCATCTCTAGTTCTGGGATTACAGGCATGTGCCATTATGCCCATCCTATTTTATTTTTTCAGAGACTGTGGCTTGCTGTTTTGCCAAGGTTGTTCTAGAATGAGTGGGTTCAAGTGATCTTCTTTTGTCGGTCTCCCTCATAGCGAGGATTATAAGTACTCACCACCACTCCCTGTGTTAGGATGGCCTCTGTTATTACCAAGTGCGGTAGCACAGCCTGTACTGACGGCACTTTGGGAAGCTGGAGCAGGAGGACCACAAGTTTGAACCCAGTATGGGCAACATATCAGTCCATAAGGTCTTGTCTCAAGATAAAAAATAAAAAGGGCTGTAGATATAGCTCAGTGCAAAGGCCCAGTGTTCAATCCCTGTGCCATATAACCACTATGCTCTTCACAGTCTGTCATCAGTTTGAGACATGTTTACTTGAACTGTAGGATTATATGACAAGTGTGAGCCAGGTCTGGTGATGTACACATGTGCTCACAGCTCTCTGGGAGTCCAAGGCAGGAGAGTTACAGATTCAAGCCCAATCTAGACTATTTAGCAATTTAGACCCCCTACTGGGAGAAAAAAAATGAGTGTGAAAAAACAGATTTAAAAACAAATACAGCCAACATTCGTTAGGCATTTAACATTTGTATGCTCACCCATCAGAGCCAAAATACAGAGGCTACTGGAAAGGCCCATCAGCTTCAGGAGCTAAGTACTTTTAAGATCTATTACCATGTCTTCCAGAGGGAAGCAGAATTTTGCTTCATTTCATAACACTAATCAAGCAGCTATGTTTGTGAGGGGAGGGGAGAGCAGGACAAAAGAAAGCCCTGGAAGGCAGACACAGAAGTGAGCCAGGCTGCTGTGAGCTTGCCATGGCAGGAGCCATAGAGGCCTTGGAGCCCCAGGGAAGACAGCAGTGTACACCTAGAGGCCAGGCCCAGGTCTGCTCCCCATCTCCACCCCACTGGGATCCCACTAGGCTCCAACTTGGCAATCCACATGCCTGCAGGCGACCCTGAAGAGAAATGTTGCTGTCAGCAGTAGGCACCTCTTTGGAGCCTTGGAGACAGGCACCCAACAGGAGCAGATTCTTTTCAGGAATCCGACTAAATAAAGGTGTCCACATCCCTACCTCTGAGGTGCCTGTTAGGTTTTTGACACTGGGGATGGAACCCAGACCCTTGCATGTGCTGGGCAAGTGCTCTACCACTGAGCTGCATTCCCAGGCTTGCTTGCTTGCTTGCTTCCTTCCTTCCTTCCTTTCTCCCTTCTCTTTTCTTTTTTTCTTGCTTTTTCTTCCTTCTCTCTCTCTCTTTTAGAGCCTATACACTGAGCTATATTCCAGCCTTTTTTATTTTTTGAGCTAGGATCTCTCTAGGCTGCTAATTTGCCCACACTGGGTTCAAACTTCTTAGTCTTCTGCTTCAACCTCCCACAGTGCTAAGCTTACATCCTGGCTCAGTTTTCTTTTTCTTTCTATCTATCTTTCTTTCTTTCTTTCTTTCTTTCTTTCTTTCTTTCTTTCTTTTCAGCAAACATCTTGAGAGAGGAGATTTTCTTGTCCCTACTTCCCCATTTCATCTGCTCCTCAACTGACCACTTTTGTCTTCTGAAATGATCTCTGCGTGCTCACACTCTCATTCCCTCTCCTGTGACACCTGAGAGGTTGTTATCTTCAGCTCAGTCTCTTCCTTGAAGTCAAAACAAATCCCAGGACACTAACTCTGGTGTGAACATTTCCAAACTTAAGATTTGTTCACTTTAGAAGCCAGGGATGTAGCTTAGGGGCACAAGCACCTGCTTGGCAAGCACAAGGTCTTTAGTTTGATTCCTAGTACCCCCCACAAAAAACTTTGCTCACTTGAGAACCTAAACACCTTGAAAGAGAAGGGAGAGAAGAAGGAGAGAGCCTAAGAATTTGCAACTCCAAAGTTTTTGTCTGATTTTCCATATGATATTTCTTCACCTGGATACCAAGTGCCACTACATGAAATTCAGAGAAGGCAGTTGTAGCTAAATAAACTGAAAGGAGGGATTTATATCTCATACATGGAAGGAGGTTTTCTCTTTTCTCCAGTGAAAGTGAATAGGAAAGATTCTGGCAGTCATTTTGGAATCATGAGGACAGCCACCCCAAGGCACACAGCCTTCCTCAAAGAAAGATTAACAGAGCCAAAGACAGAGCTAGGGTCCTGGCTGGATGACGTCATTGAAGTGCCGAGTCAGTTCATACCAGAGTCTGCCCTACTGCTGGCTCCTTGTTGTGTAAAGTGTCCCCCCCTCCACGCTAGGGTTCTCTGTTACTTTTTTTTTTTGTCTTTTTTCATTTTTATCGGTACCGGGGATCGAACTCACGACCGCCTGCTTGCAAGGCAGGTGCTTATGCCCCTGAGCTAAATCCCCTGCCCCTTCTCTGTTACTTTTAATAGGACACATTCTAATACCTCTGTGTCTCAAATTTCCGATGACACCGAACCTATAGCTGCTGCTGCCTACTACTGCCTTTCTCCTGGATATTCTGAAGTACCTCACATTCCTAAGTCTAAACAGACTGCTCCTTCTGTCTCTCCCTCTCAGACAGAAGCTTTCTTTCTGTCAGTAAATATATTCTGCTCTTAAAAAAAAATAAAACAGACTTTGCACCCCAGCTCTGCTCCAGTCTCCCTTTGCCCCTCTGTGAATGCACCACCATGGTCTCCCTGTGGCCCAGATGTTTATCAAATCCCTGACCTGCTGCCCTGTCCATTCACCATCATCTCTTTCCAAACCCTCCTGCACGTGTTATGTATCAGCACCTGTACATAATGATTACATTCATTGTGGGGAGTTGGTACATGTAACGAATACATCTTTGGTCTTTTTATCTCGCTAAACTTTTCTAAAATGCAGTTCAATTAGGGTATACACCTGTAATCTCAGTACTGTAGGAAGCTGAGACAGGTTGCAAGTTTCAGTCCAGCCTGGGGAATTTAAGGACTTAGAAAGGTCCTATCTCAAAATAGAAAGTAAAAAAGATCTGGGGATGTAGCCTAGTGTGAAGGCCTTGGGCTTAATCTTCACGACGAAACTCCAAGATCAGAATACTTTATTATGCTGATCAGAACCCTTAAGTTTCTTTTTTTCCTTATAAATTCTGGATGTCTTAATATGACCTACCCTCCACGGCCAGGCCTCAGTTTCTCCTTTCTAGCCTCAACACTGTCCCCACCCTGTACTTCACTCAGTTTTACAGATCACCTTCAGGCCCCAGCTTGCCCCCTAGGTAGGAAATTTACTATCTAGAAAAGCCTTCTGTCCCCTCAGCTGCTCCTTCTCCAGGGCGTGATGCGATGTCACCTCCTATCAGGCAAAGCCCTGATCCTTTCCAAGACAGCTTAACAGCTCCTCTCATTCCCAGATAGTGCCCACCGCCAGGCTGGCATTTTATCTGTCCATGTCCCCACAGGAGCTCCTTGAGAGTGTAGAGTCTGACTTACTTATTAACCCCAATATCAATACTGAATGGGAAAGGAAACCTGAGATCCAAAAGCGAGTTTCATCTGGAAGGTGAAGGTCACATGCAGTGGAGTTAGCAGCAGCATAGAAAGGGACACTTTGAGCAGTGTGGGGCTGGCGGTGGGAGCAGTCTGACTTGCTGCCTATGCATGTTGAATAGGGTTGGATGGATGGCAGGGCACGGCCCAGGATGGAAACCCTTGATATTAGGTAATGTGACCCTGACAAGAGATGAAGATGGGCTGGACTAGGGCAGTAATGGTGGACAGGAGGAAAACCACACAATTTTTTTTGCTATGCAGTTCAGGTTGGCCTTGAGCCCACTATGTAATTCAGGCTGGTCTGGAACTCACAATGATCCTCTTGCCTCAGCCTCCTTAGGGCTGGGATAACAAGCGTGTGCCACCACGCCCAGCCAATCTTTTTTTTTTTTTCTTTGAGACAGGGTCTCTCTCTGTAGTCCAAACTGGCCATGAACTCACAGCATTGCTCTTGCCTCCCCGTCTCAAGTGCTGAGATTACACTTGGTTGAGAACAACACAATCTTTTTTTTTTTGGTCTTTTTGAGACAGGGTCTCACTATGCAGTTCAGGCTGGCCTTGAGCTCACTTTGTAGCCAAGGCTGGTCCTCAAACTCACAATGATCCTCCTGTCTCAGCCTCCCAAGTGCTGAGATTACAGGCGTGAGCCACCATGCCCAGCTGAACCACACTCTTGAAAGAGAACTAAGGAGCAGACGGTGGGAAGAGACAGGGATATACCTCAGTGGTAAAGCCCTTGCCTCGTATGCACAAGGCCCTGGCTTTGATCCTTAGCACAGAAGAAGATAGAGAAGGAGGAGAGAATTGGTGGCAAATAAAAGAAAAATGGTGGAGGATGCTGATTTGGTAAGAGGGGTCCCAGTGGCACCTTCTTCAGGAGTGAGGGATCCAGAAGAAAGATGATGACTACAGATGGGGACAGAGTGAGAAGCTCGGTTTGGGAAATGCTACATTGGAATGACCTATGTGACACCCAGCAGACAGCTGGACGGACATTCAGCCCCAGCTACAGAGGGGACAGAAGACAAGAGATAGGAGAAAGCCCAGCAGGAAGTCACAGATGTGAGTGCAGCAGAAGTGATAGGGGGAAAGGGAAAACACTGCTGGGGCTCTGTGCCCCCAGACCCAGCCCAGACAAACCCACCAGACAAGTTTCTCTCCATAGCACTTTTATTTGACTCCAAAGTGAAACTCAGACTCTGGCCCACCCCACCCCACCCCACCCCACCCCACCAATCAACGGGTCCTGGCTGGAGCAACTTGTCCTGTGGTTTAAGAGCCTCTATGAGGGAAGGAAGGAAAGCATTTGTGTCAGAGAGGGGCCGAGCTATTTGGCCATGGGCTGGGGAGGGGAAGCCTGGTGCCATCCCCTAGGCACATGCAGTGGAAGGGAAGGGAGACCAATTCAGGATAGGTGTGAGGCTTTGGGATTACAGTAGGCCTGGGGTAGGGGCAGGGAGCTCCCAACTGAGGGAGTTCAGTAGCTGTGAGTAGAAGACTTGTCCAGCCCATTGTGCTGCTCCTTCTGAGACTCGGTCACCACCTGCTGGTGGCAAGGAATGAGAGGCTGAGGTTTCAGCACCACCCTCCTTGTGTCCCCCTGCCTGACATAACTAGCTGAGGCTCCCATTTGTCCACCCATCTTTTCTGGTTTCCCATCCACCCACAACACCTAAAATCTGCAGCCAGAGTGGGACTCAGGAGCAGCACAGCCAAAGATGGAGTCCTGGGGCAGGAGGCTCACCTCCCCATCCCGGGTCTCAATGGTCCGGATCAGAACCATCTTCCGGCTGTGGCTATCCTGAGATGGCTCCACCTCAGGCACTGGAGAGAGCAGCGTGAGGAGTAGAAAGGAAAAGACTGGAATTTCTCTTTTTTCAGGCAACCATTCTCTGGGGCAGCAGATGGGGGGAGCATGAGAAGTAGAGGCCAGTCTAGGCTGGGACTCAGTAGAAGAAGAGTTCAATCAGGGTAGACAGGGACACGGGGAGTACAGACTGGAAGCCAGATGTGGAGAACTCACCAGTCGTCTTCATACTCAAGGAGGCAAAAGAATGGATGGGCACCGAGATCCTGCAGGCAAAGCGCAGTCAGCCCCTCTGCCAAGACCACCCCTTCCCCAAAACTCAATGCCAAGCCCAGCCTCGCCCCAGCAGCCCCGCTCCCCACCGGCTCTCCTCGCCCTCCAGCAGTTTCCGGTAGGTGGCGATCTCGATGTCCAGGGCCATCTTGACGTTGAGGAGCTCCTGGTACTCGCGCAGGTGCCGGGCCATCTCCTCCTTGAGCTGCCGCAGCTCCTCCTCCAACCGCGCGGCGCCAGCCTGGTACCCGCCCGCCTCCAAGGCGAACTGCTCCTCCAGCTCCCGCAGCTGCCGGAGCAGCGCCTCGTTCTGCGGGGGACGGGCCGGGGTCAGACGGGGAACTTGGCCTCGTCTGCGCCGCCGCTGCGGGGCGCTCACCGAGGTGCTCACCGTGCCGCGCAGCCCGTCCACCTCGCAGGTCAGACTCTGAATCTGCCGTCGAGACTCGTTCATCTCCTGCTTGGCCTGGCGCAGGGCCTCGTGGTTCCGGTTGGCGGCATCGGAGAGGTCCGCGTACTGCGGGGCGGGGGTCCCTCAGGGTGCAGCGGGCTGGACACGCGACCCCACCGCAGCCCGGCCCGCCCTCCCGGGCCTCGTCGCGCGCCCCCTCGGCCGCGCACCTTGGACTTGTACCACTCCTCGGCCTCCTGCAGGTTCTTCGCCGCGATGCTCTCGTACTGCGCGCGGATGTCCCTCAGCGCCGCCGTCAGCTCGGGCTTCACAGTCGCCTCGACCTCCACCTGCTGCACCTGCTGACTCTCCACGCTCACCTGCAGGTCTCGAAGCTCCTGCCGGCCAGGGCAGTCAACGGATGGGCCCACCGCATGGCGGACGGCTCAAAAGCCACGCAGCCGCGCAGTTCGTGAGCAGAAAGGTGAAGAAATGCTTGCTTGGACAGCCGGGAGCGGCAGGGCCTCCAGCGCGCGCAGCACTGCGCCACCCTTGCCCTAGCTGTGCTAAACCCACGGATTCGGGGTGTAGCACTGCTGTCGGCCAACAGGTGGCGCAGGGGTGGGATACAAATCACCTGTAGGGCCTGGCCCAGCGGCGATGTCCATCCCGAAGCTCTTGCATCTTCCCAGGCCATTCTGGCCCTCCACCTGCTCACCTCCCGGTCTCTCCGCAAGCGAGGGCTCTCCCCAACCTTTTAGGCCTCTTCACACCCAGGTCCACTCACCTCCTCGTGCAGTTTCTTGAGGAACTCAATCTCATCCATCAGGGACTCAATCTTGCGCTCTAGTTCCAGACGGGACAGGGTGGCATCGTCCACATCCTTCGTAGGTGGGAGTGGGGTTTGAGAGAGAGAAGGGCAGTCAGAGCGAGGTCGGCGGGGCATTCCTTCTCTGCCACAGGATGCGCCCACCAACGCGTGCCAGGGATGAGGTTGGAGACAGAACTCACCCGTGGGCCGGGCCGACTCACCTTGCGGAAGAGCACGAGGTTGTGTTCTGCATCCTCCCGCTTGCGCGTTTCCTCCTCCAGTCTGATGAACAGAGGGGACAGAGATGAAGCTGCGGGTCACCACACAGAGCCCCCGCCCTCAGGACTCTATTGCTGCCGTCCAGGGTTCTAAGGGAGGGCTCAGGCTGCCTGGTGAAATTGCTTTTTGTGTGCGTGTGTGGTTCTGGGGATCAAACCCAGAGCCTTGTGCATGCAGGACAAGAACTCTACTACTGAGCCACATTCCCAGTCTCTTGCCCTTTTCAGTGGGCTGGAACCTGAGTAGTGGGTTCCCTTGATGCTCAAGATAGACAAGAGACGCCCTCCCTCATCCCCCCAGACGCTCAAATCCAAGAGCAGGGCGGAGGCCTGAGGGTCACTGGCAAGGATGCAGCGCTCCTGTTGGCCCGGGGAGCCACGCCCTTGGGCTCTGGGAAGTAGAGGAAGGTGCAGCAGCCTGGGGCGGGGTGGTGGGGTGGTCGGATGGCCACAGTCCAGCCCCAGCCCTGACCTTTGCTTGAGCGCCGCCAGGTCCTCGGCCAGCCCATCGCGCTCCACCTGCACCCGGTCGCGCTCCCGGCCCAGTAGCTCTAGCTCGCGCCGCAGTTCGCGCAGTTCCTGCTGGCACAGTTGGTCTGCGCGCGCTGGCTCCTGGCCCCGTGCCTGGCTCAGCTCGCCACGCAGAGCCGCGTTCTGCTGCTCCAGGAAGCGCACCTTCTCTATGAAGTTGGCGAAACGGTCATTGAGCTCCTGTAGTTCTTGCTTCTCATTGCTGCGCGTGGCCAGGAACTCCTGGTTGAGGGCCTCGGCCATGGAGAAGTCGAGGCGCTCTGAGGGCAGGCGCAGAGCCCCCACCCGAGGGGCGCGAAAGCTGCCCAGGCGCACGGAGGAGCTCGGGGACGCCGAGCCCAGCAGGCGGCTGCTAGAGAAGCGTGAGCTGGACGAGTACGAGAAGGCCCCAGGGGACAGGGAGGGCGGCGGCCCGAAAGTGCGGCGGTACGAGGTGGCACTCACGCTGGCCCGGAGGCCCGACGGGTGGTGGCTCATGTCTACAGAGGACCGCGGTGTGCGCTGGAAGGGCTGGGCTGGGACGCGAAGGAGGTGCAGACGCTGCGAGGCAGCTTTATAGCCCAGCAGGCTCCGGAGGGCCTGGCCAGCTCCTCCCCCTGGCCTGAGGCTGGCTGGAGCGGGGGCTGCGTGGGGAGGGGGATGCCCCACCCTGCGGACCGCAGTGGCGCCGCACCCTCCCCTCCACAGGTTGCTGGAGCCTGGCCACAAGATTCCCCCTACTGCGGGGAAGAGAGCGGAGATTCGACCACAGGCAGGGATGGTAGACAGCGCCTTCCAGCAAACGCCAAAGCCGGAGGAGCCCCAGACCCAGACCTGAGGGCTTGTCTGGAGCTGGGGTCCCTGCCTGGAAGAAGTTGGGATAGACATAGGGAAAGAGGAAGGCCTGAGGTTACAGGGCCTGGAGGAAAAGGAGCTCTGGCCTGGCTTAGGCCCAGATCTTGTGTGCACTTGTCTCATGAAGCCGAGGCTGTCACCTGCTGTCAGGTACCCGATCCTTCACCACACACCCAAGAGAAGTGGGGAGTCCGAAGAGGCCGAGAGGCCTGGTGAAGGGCTGGTTGCTTCTTAATCCCCAGGGTCCTCTGAAGGGCTGGTGATTGGCGCCAGCCAGCTCTGCCGGTAATGGACTGACCAATTCCCCTCCCCCTGTCCCTGCCGGGCAGAGGCTGCCGCTGCTGTGTCTGCCTTAAAGACACAGCCCCTAGACCTCCATCTTCCCCAGGCACCAAGAAGGTGGGTACCTCATGGGAGGCTGAGGGTAGCTGGCTCTGCATCCCCTGGAGGGTCTGTGCCATGCCGCCAGAGGTTGGGTGAGTGGCCTGTGGAATGCTGTCTGCCTTTACTGAAGGCTTCCGAGCCCCACTCCCCACCAACTGCTGCTCAGTCACAGGCCTTCCGGGAACAAGGGCGATTTTGAGGTGGGAAGGGGAAGGAGCAGAGGGGCAGCAGCTGCTGCCAACGTTGAGAGATGGACAGACTGGCAGGAACTGGCTTCCAGTATTGAGGAGGTACAGGTATCCAGAGATGGGTGGGGCTCGTGGGCGACAGAAGAGGAGAAGCTGAAGATGCCCACCCCAGCTGTGTGAAAGGAGGCTCTGGACAGGCCCTACAACAGATGGGTAGACATAGCCCATCGTGTGTGTGTGTGTGTGTGTGTGTGTGTGTGTGTGTGTGTGTGTGTACTTCACACAAATACACAACCACATATTGGTACATCCCTTCATGTGCCACCCCACCCGGTATTAGCAGGAAGGCTGATACCTGGCCTTTGCATGTGACACAGTTTCCGAAACAAAACAGGCACAGGCTGCCTAGGGTAGACAGAGCTTGTGCTGATGGCTGCACAGGATGCTGAGGTCTGTTGGGTTTGCCGATAGCCTTAAGGCTGTGCTGCCAAGGACTTTAGGGCTCTCCAGGTGGAAAGTGCACTTTAGCTTGTCCCTGAGGGTGAGCTGAGTATTGGGGGAAGCAGGTTTGGGGTCCACACTGGATCCCTGGCTGAGTGGAGAAGGGCTGCTCCCTGTCAGGCCTACTCCTCTGTGCAGCAGGGCAGAGGACTCCCTCCTCCCTTTGTGCATCCTCTGAGATGGGCCAGAGCCAGTGTGGGCTCGCAGCTCTCTCCTCTCCAGGCCCCTCCTTCCTTCCGGGCTATTAGTCTCTCCATACACAGCTGCCAGGTCCTTCTAGATGGGCCTGGCTCTGTTGCCAGGGGAATGAGGAGGATGGGAGAGATGGAACTGGATGAACCAGGGCCCTGAGAGTGGGGAGGGTGGAGTTCAGTGTGGGCTGTGGTGAGGAGATTGGTGGGTTGGAGAGGAGGCTGAGGGAACCTTGGTGCTTTCTGCCGCAGCCTGGGCTCTGGGCCTCGGCTACCATTGGTCTGGAGCCCTATCCACCCCAGACTGCGACTTACCAGACTTACCCTTGGGGTCCGGCACTGTACCTCTGCACCAGAGGAGTGGTCAGGCCACACTTCTGGAGGACTAGCTCCAGCCTCTCTCTGTAGGGAGCTTTGAGAAGACGGGCCTTTGAGATCAGAGGTGGCTGGGACTGGGGAGTTCCAGACCGGGTTCTAGCTTTCTTTAGGCCCCCAGCTTGCTCTCCAGATCCTCAGAGAAGAGGGCCCCAGAGAGCCCTCTGTGGGGAGTGCACAAGGTGGGAAACTGGATGGGAGAAACCAGGCAGGGAAAGGCTCCTACTGCTCGGGAGGAGGAATCGGGTCTGGGAGAAGCTGGGTAGGGAAAGAGGTTTAGTCTAAAATCCCACCCAGCTGCCCTGCTTCCCACGGGGGCCAGCTATTCGCTGTGGTAGGAATTCAGGTCCATTTCTGTGTCCATCAGTAAAATGGAGATAATTGTGGCTTCTACCTCATGGTGGTGTTGGGGGGATTAAGTAAAAAAAAAAAGTGGTGTTTGTTTGTTTTGTTCTGTTTATGAGATAGGGAGATATTGGGATTTAGCTCAGCGGCATAAGCACCTGCCTTGGAAGCAGGCAGTCGTGAGTTCAATCCCTGGTACCGATAAAAATGGAAAAAAAAAAAAAAAAAAGACAGAGATAGGGAGATATGTAATTCAGGATGGCCTCAAGCTCACAGTGGTCTTCTTCCTGAGAGCTGGGATTACAGGTGTGCATCACCACACTCAGGTTTTTGTTTTTGTTTTTTTTCTTTTTTGCGGTACTGGGGATTGAACTCACAACCTCATGCTTGCCAGGCAGGCGCGTATGCTGCTAAACTAAATCCCCAGCCCCTATCACCACACTCAGGTGAAAATGTGCGTACACTTAGGACACACATTGTAAGTGCTGAAAAATATAAGTTATTTTATTGTATTTAATGTGTGTGTGTGTGTGTGTATGTGTGTGTATGTGTGTGTGTATATGTGTGTGTATGGTACGGGGGATTGGCTTGATTGTGTGATTTTCCTGCTTCAGCCTCCCAGAACACTGGGATTTCAGGTATGCTACGATAGCCAACTTATTTTTGTTATTATTAATCTTCTAAATGATATTGCCAGCCCCCAAGTGAAGTGAGGATCTGGGCCTCTTTTGGATTATTCACATTTGTGACTGAGAGCGGCCACGGGATAGAAGGAGCCAAGTACTGCCTGGTTCATGGCTGAAGGGAAGGTAACCTCATCCTGCCTTGTATACTAGGATTCTGAACATAGCTGCTGACTTAATGAGCTGTGTGTGTGTGTGTGTCTGTGTGTGTGTGTGTGTGTGTGAGAGAGAGAGAGAGAGAGAGAGAGAGAGAGAGATTTTGTGAGTGGCTCACCTCTGTTCACCCTATTTTCTTTTTCTATAATGGGTCTGATAATAATAGTGTCTACTTAAGAGCAGTGGAGGATTGGTCACAATGTGAAGCACTTAGGACTTGGCCCCAGTGCATGCTGTGTAGTGGCCAGCGTGACTGTGAGCCTTTCTTCCTCTGCCTCTCTCAGCTGCTCTGCTAAAGGCCTGGAGAGAAGCAGTGGGCTTCCAGGACAGCAGAATTAGGTTATTGGTGAGACTATTGCTAAATAGTGGACCTCCACCACATCTGACCAGCTGGTTATAGTGGTACAGACAAGAGTGGGAGAGGCTGCGTGAGCACAGGGGTTGGCAGCTGGCCTCTCTGCCCAGGTCAAAGGACAGTCATAATGCAAGTGAAGGACTCCACTGAAAAGGCAAGGAGCAGTCTGTAGACGGCCAAATGCATGGACCTGTGGTTTTGGAGCCAGAGTATTTACGGATGATGAAGTTCTCAGGGTATCCAGTGGGTGTGGACCGCTGAGCCTGCTAGGATAGAGCAAAAGGTCGTGAGAGAAGAGACCGTTCACCAGTCTGGGCACTGACCACTGACCAGCTATGGTGACCCGAGAGAGATTGCTATGTTTTTTTTTTGTTTTTTTTTTTTTTTTTTTGTCTTTTTCATCTTTATCGATACCGGGGATCGAACTCACAGCCGCCTGCTTGCAAGGCAGGTGCTTATGCCGCTGAGCTAAATCCCCAGCCCCGAGTTTGCTCCATAGGGAGCGTCTGTTTTTTCACCATCAGCGTAGGGATAAGGACTCCTAGTGTGTTAGGCTCATAGTAGCTGCTCACTTATCTTGGTTACCTTTTCCTGTTCCTGTCTGACCGTGAGGAAACAGGCACAGAGGAGTGGGGACATTTTCCTAAGTGCTAATAATTAGATGTCAGCTGGGGCCTGGCTTGAAGCCCAGGATTTTTTTCCTTTTTCTTTTTTGGTACCAGGAATTGAACTCAGGACCTCATGCTTGCCAGGCAGGTATAGTGCTGCTATAGCCCTGGCAGGGCCCAGGATTGGTGTCCACCTCTACTCCACATTTTGGGGACAGCACAGTCTCCTTCCCAAAATTCTTTTGCCAACCAGATTCAGACCAGTGGAGGACACCTGTGGTCCCAGCTACTACTTGGGAGGCTGAGGCAGGAGGATCACTTGAATCCAGGAGTTTGAAACCATTCTGGGAAGCACACTGGGACACCATAAAAAAGATTCTTTTGGGTTGGGGATTTAGCTCAGCAGCATAAGCACCTGCCTTGGTAAGTTCAATCCCCGGTACCGATTAAAAAAAAAGAAAAAGAAAAAGAAAAAAAGATTCTTTTGCCTGCTGCACCTAAATCAGTTCACTTGAGTTTGACTCTAAATGTCACACAAAAGCACTGTGGCTTGGTTCCTTGGTTGTCTCCCCTAGTCAAGACCTAAGGATCAGCAGGACAAAGCCACTCATCTGTGGTTACACTGGGGCTCTTCTCTGGGAGGCCAGGCCTGGGTTGGCCCTGCTGGTGGGCTGGGCTATCACCTGTAGGACCCAAGGGGAGGCTCAGGCAGGGGCATCTGGCGTCCCACTCTTCAAGGTGAATGCTCCAGCCCAGTATGGCTGCAGGGTCCCAGCTCACAGAGTGATCTCAAAATGAAGTTCTTCCTGCACCATCTCCGGGCTGGGGCTCTGCTCTGCCTGTTTGGGAATGCCCGGGCATCATTGAATCCTATTCCTTCCCTCGCTGCAGCCTTTAAAATAGTTGATGAGTCCTATATGCCAAGAACCAGGCTAAGCATTCAACACATTTTCACATTCAATCGCTTCTGACCTCGAACATCCTACCACATAGGTTTCTATGCTGATCCCATTTTACAGAATAAAATGGGAAGAAACTGAGCCACAAAGAGGTTAAGTAACTTGTCCTACTTCACAAAACTAATAAACTAATAATCTGTGTATGTCTGCCTCCCCATCCCGGATAATATGATCTGTGAAGATAGACATGAGACCATACTTGTGTTTAATGGGTGGTGTCTAACTCCAGACTTAGGTCCGCTGTTTTCAAGGCACCTGAAATCTTGTGGTTGTTTGTCTGCAAAATAGAGGTGTGCTGCTGCCATCTTCTGGTCAGAAACTAGAATGACATGTCTGCAGTCCGCATCTAAGCTAGTTCAGTGCAAAACTAAGGTGCAGGAATGCTGGAATTTTGCGTGATACTGAGCAATTACTTATTGTGATTTCTTTCTTCCTTCCCTCATTCCTTCTCTCCTTCTCTCCTTCTCTCCTTCCTACCTTCCTTCCTTCTTTCCTTCCTTCCTTCCTTCCTTCCTCCCTCCCTCCCTCCCTCCCTTCTTCCTTTCTTTCTTTTTGAGACAGGTTTTTCTCTGTAGTTCAGGTTGGCATCGAACTCACTGAGTAGCCCAGGCCGGTCTCAAACGCAGTAATCTCCCCTGCCTCAGCCTCCCAAATGCTGGGATCATAGGCATGTGCCACCATACCTGGATTATCATGATCTCCTTTTTACCCATGAGAAATCCAAGAAGTTATACTTCAGAGACACCCTGAAATTAGAAGTTCCAAGCCCTGATTCCATTCTTCCCCTAGGCCCTAAGAGCCTCCTCTGCCCCCTTTCCCAACAAAAAGCCAGGGCAGGAGGGCAAAATCTGTCTTCGACTCCTCCCCTAATCTTCTGCTCAGCCCATAGCTCCCAGTTCTGTTCTGAGCATGCAACTGCCTCTCTACTGCCTCACTGACCTTTCCAAAGAGCTCCTCTGCAGCTGA